AGTGTGGTGGTACATGCCTGTAGTTCAACTACTGGGGATGCTAAGGCAGGAGGATACTTTGAGTTCAGGGGTTTGAGTCCATCCTGGGGACCATAGCAAAACCTGTCTCTAATAAAGGAAACAGTGTGGTACTAACATATGGATAGGGAAATTAATGAGACCAAATATCAAATATTGAAACAAACCCAAATATAATGTTAGTGTTTGACGAATTCTTCAAACTAAAATGAGTAGGGTAAAAAAGAGATCTTTACTTAATACCATATACTAAAATAAGCCATTAATGGGTTAATGATTAAATATGATAAAACTAGACCTTAAAACAATGAAAGAAGTGATATGACAATTTATCTACTCCCAGTATAATAATGGATTTTCTGAACATAAGAAAAAAGGAATAAAGTGAGTAAATTTGATGATGTAAAATTACATGACTTTGTCAAAGATAACATAAAAAAGATAAACATTCATAACATTTGAGGCTAATAAAGAGTTGATATTCTTAATTTGTGAGGAACATGTACAAATGAATTTCATTAAAATACCAAAAACAGTGTTGAAAGATAGACATGAACAGGCCATTCAAAGAAAAAGAAGTATTGGATAGATATTCTATTAGTATATGAAAAGATGCTCAACTTCATTTTAAAAATCAAAGAAATGTGAGTTGAAAGCAATGAAATCTTTTTTTTCAGTCCATTTAATTGATGATAATAAAAATATTAATATACACACACACCCGGTGTTACTGTAGTGAAATGATTCTTATGCACTGCTACTGAGAATGTAAGTTGGCACAGCTTTTCTGGAGGGCAGTTTGTCAGAAAGAATGAAAAACCTTAAAAATATTTCACCCTCTTTGACCCAACAATTCTACTTCTAAGAAATTGTGTTAAGGAAATAATCAGAAAAGTGCACAAATAAGTTAATATAGGTTTATAAGTTAATATAAGATACGGTTTACTGTGTTATTTGTAGTGGTCAAAGTTGAAAGCAACTTTTGTATCTGACACTGGGCTTGGTTAAATAAATGTTTAAACTGATGTTGGAACTGATGTTTTTCAAAAATATTTAATGATGGGGAAAATGCATGTGATCTAATATTCAGTGTAGAAAGCGGTCTACAAAATTCAGTAGGCCAAATGATTTTTTTTTTTTAAAGAAAACATATGCAGGAAACAATGACTAAAAAAAAAGCACACCCAAGTGTAAAAACATTGTTTATCTCTGGGTGGTAGGATAATGGGTGACTGTTATGTTCTGTCATCTTCTCTGTATTTTCCGAATTTTCTACAATGAACCCGACTTTCATTTTTGTGATGCTGAAATATGTTACAGTAAATATGTAGTTTGAGCCCAGTTACTGTCTCTTCTTTGCTGTGGTCTTTAAGTTTCTCAGCAAAGCAGCTGCCAGAACCTGAGCTGCTTTCTGTCTCTGAGGCTTGGTTTAGAATTAAAAGATGCTGAATTGATATCTTTCTCAGAGAAAAATGTAATTTAAAAATGCCAACATGTTGGCAAGAGGTGACGTTTAGTTCATCTCTGTGTGCTCCACTCTCATCCTGAAAACATGAGAGTTAAGGGTTTTTGCTTTTGTTTTTGACCTTGTGAGGCTATGTCCTGGTGATAGAACTTCTACTTCATTCCTCAACTCTGATGGGTAAAGTTAAGAAGAATAGGGAGATTTGGTGATAGAAAAGAATGAGAGAAACATTTTGGTCTTGGTTTCTTTTCTCTTCTAATTTTATTCTTGACTCTGAGTGTCTTTTGATATCCTTTCCACATCCTGCCTTTAAATTAAAGAAGGTATCAGAACAAGATCAGAAAGTGAAGGTGGGAGGAAACCTTCATTTCCAATCCTCTCCTAGCCTTTTATCCTAGTTGTCTATAGAAATGAGAACAGAGACCTTCTAGATGGAAAGGAATTAAATTAAATCAATGTTCATATGAGCATTTCCTCTGAAAAGCATTATGAAGTTTGGCATGGCAGATATAAAGAATGTAAAGACATGCTACCTACCCTTACTGAGTATATAGACTAATTCAATAAAATGTAATATGAGTTTAAACCTAAATAAAAATAAATAAGACTTCAAGAGCAGTTCAGAACCATGTAAGAGATTACAGGATTGACCAGTGAGTTTTGTAAATAGGTACTAGTCTCAGATGAGAAAGTTACTTCAGGCTTGGAGAAGAGAGTGATGTGGAAAGGATTTAGGAAGGAGGTAAATTTTGAGTGACATCTTGAGAGATGAATTTAGAGAAAGAGGAAGGGAGAAGACATTCTAGGCAAGAGAACTGATATCAGCAAATGTGCAAAGTATGTTTGAAGGTTAGTGAATACATCAGTTTAAATAAAGTGTTCATGAAATAGAGCTGGGAGAAATATGACTGAAAAGGTCAATTGGTGTCAGATCAACAAAGAACTTAAATAACATTCCAAAAGTATTGGAGTTCGTAGGGAATTATTAGAGAATTTTGAGCAGGGGGACTAAGAGTTTGAAGTGTTTTAGGTAGATTAATCTTCAGTAGTGTATAGCAGTGGTTCACGAATGTGAACCTGGGATTAGGTGCTGAGCTAACTTTATCAGAATTACCTTAAGGTCTTTAAAAATAGTTTCAGATCCCTGTATCACATCCCTGAAGTTTCTTTTTCAGCAAGTCTGGGATAATGTTCAATAATCTCTATTTTTAAATGCTTCTGGAGGATTCTGGTGGGTACTCAGGCTTGGGAACAACTATTGTAAAAGATGTATGGAAAAGGAATACCATTTAAAAATGAGAATATATGTCCAGTTACTTGTTAATAGGTATGAAGTGATATAAAAGGTATTTCTTCATTCCCTCCAGTATTAGTATCTGGTTTGGGAAAATCTTTATGAAGAGCTTTCATCGAGAGTTAATTAAAAAGAAAAAAAATTTAAAGCAGCCCAAACTAAAACAAAACCTGTTAAATTCAGATTGAACAGTACAATTGCCAGGCTTGATTTTTTATGTTTCTGTATATATTTGTGTGTGTACATATGTATATGTATAACTATGCATATGTGTATACACGCATATATGCTTGTGTATCTAACAGCTTCAAAATCCTTTTTTTCTTCTGTTGGAACGTGTGTGTGTTTGTGTGTGTGTGTGTGTGTGTGTGTGTGTGTGTATGTATGTACATATGAGGGTTGCAATTTCTCCACATCCTTGTCAACACTTATTAACATCTACCTTTTTAAATTTTAGTAATACTAGTGGACATGAAGTGATGTTTTATTGTGGTTTTGATTTTCATTCTCCTAATGACTAATGGTTTTGAGCATTCCTTTGTGTAAGCAAACATTTAGAAGATGTTTTTGTTTTTTTCTTTCCAACTTTTAGGTTCAAGGTTTGTTACATGGATAAATTGAATGTCATAGGGAATTATTTTCTGTCACCCAGGTAATCAGCATAATACCTGATACGTAGTTCCATTCTCTCCCTCCTCCCATTTTCCACCCTCCAATACGCTCTGGTGTCTGTTGTTCTCTTGTGAGTGTCCATGTATACTCCATGTTTAGCTCTCACTTAGATATGAGAATATGCAATATTTGGTTTTCTCTTTCTACATCAATTTGCTTAGGATAATGGTCTCTAGCTCCATGCTGCTGCAAAGAACATGATCTCTCTTTTTTTTTAATGGCTGTGTGGTATTCCATAGTGTGTATGTACCACATTTTCTTTATTCAGTCCACTGTTGGTGAACATCTAGGTTGATTACATATCTTTGCTATTGTGAATAGTGTTGCCACAAACCTATGTAGGCATGCGTCTTTATGGTAGAGGGATTTATATTCCTTTGGGTATATATCTAGTAATGGGATTACTGGGTCGAATGGTAATTCTACTTTAAGTTCTTTCAGAAATCTCCAGAACGCTTTCCGCAATGGCTGAGCTAACTTACATTCCCACCAGTTGTATATAAGTAGTCTTTTTTCTCCAAAATCTTGCTAACATCTGTTATTCTTTGACTTTTTAGTAATAGCCATTCTGACAGGTATGAGATGGTATTTCATTGTGGTTTTGATTTGCATTTCCCTAATGATTTGTGATGTTCAGTATTTTTTAATATGCTTGTTAGCCATGTGTTTGTTTTCATTTGAGAAGTGTCTGTTCATGTCCTTTGCCCATTTTTAAATGGGGTTGGTTGTTTTATGCTTGTTGTTTTATGTTCCTTATAGATTCTGGATATTAGACCTTTGTCAGACACATAGTTTGCAAATATTACCCCCTATTCTGTACGTTGTCTGTTTACTCTGTTGATTGTTTCTTTTGCTGTGCAGAAGCTCTTTGGTTTAATTAGGTCCCATTTGTCAATTTTTGTTTTTGTTAAAATTGCTTTTGGTGCCTTCCTCATGAAGTCTTTGTCAGGTCCTTTGTATTTCCTATATTGTTTTCCAGAGTTTTTATAGTTTCTTTTAATTGATGTTGAATTTATTTGTCAATGGTGAAAGATAGGGGCCCATTTTCATCTGCATATGGTTAGCCAGTTATCCCAGCAGCATTTATTGAATAGAAAATCCTTTCCCCATTGCTTGTTACTGTCAGCTTTATTGAACATCAGATGACTGTTGCTATGCAGCTTTGTTTCTGGGTTCTCTAACCTGTTCCAATGGTCTGTGTATCTGTTTTTATACCAGTACCATGCTGCTTTTGTTACTCTAGCCTTGTAATATAGTTTGAAGTCAGGTATTGTGATGCCTCTATGCCTCCAGCTTTGTTTTTTGTTGTTGTTGTTTTTTGCTTTTGCTTAAAATTGCTTTGGCTATTTGAGCTCTTTTTTGGTTCTGAATGAATTTTAGAATGTTTTTTTTTTTGATTCTTTGAAAAATGTTGGTAGTTTGAATAGGAATAGCATTGAATCTGTAAATTGTTTTGGGCAGCATGGCCATTTTAGCAGTTTTCATTCTTCATATCCGTGAGCATGGTATATTTTTCCATTTGTTTGTGCCATCTCTGATTTCTTTTAGCAGTGTTGTAATCCTCATTGTAGAGACTTTTCACTTCCCTGGTTAGCTTTATTCTTAGGCATCATATTCTTTTTGTTGCTATTGTGAATGGGGTTATATTCTTGATTTGACCCTCAGCGTGGACACCACTGGTGTATATAAATGCTACTGATTTTTTTACATCTATTTTGTATCCTGAAACTTTGCTGATGTTGTTTATCAGATATAGCACTCCTTGGACAAGGACTATGGGGTTTTCTAGGTGATACCTAGATGATATGATGGCATCATATTATCTGTGAAGAGAGAGAGCTTGATTTCCTCTCTTCCTATTTGGATGCCTTTTATTTTTTTGTCTTGCCTGATTGCTCTGGCTAGAACTTCCAGTATTGTGTTGAATAGGACTGGAGAGAGTGACATCTTCATCTTGTTCTGGTTCTCAAGGGGAATGTTCTCAGCTTTTGCCAACTCAGTATGCTGTTGCCTGTGGGTTTGTCTTAGATGGCTCTCATTACTTTGAGGTATTTTGCTTCAATGCCTAGTTAGTTTATGATTTTTTAACATGAAGGGATGTTGAACTCTGTCAAAATTATTTTGTGTGTTTATTGAGATGTTCATTTGGTCTTTCTTTTTAGTTCTGTTTCTGGTGCTGAATCACATTTATTGATTTTCATATGGTGAACGAAACTTGCATCTCAGGAATAAAGCCTGCTTGGTCATGGTGGATTAGCTTTTTGTTGTGCCACTGAACTTGGTTTGCTAGTATTTCATTGATGATTTTTAAATCTATGTTGGTCGGATATATTGGCCTGAAGTTTTCTTTTTTGTTGTTCTTGTATCTCTGCCAGGTTTGGTATCAGAATGATGTTGGCCTTACAGAATGTGTTACACTATTTTTTAAATCGTTTGAATGGGATTGGTAACAGCTTTTCTGTATACATCTCGTGGAATTTGGCTGTGAATCTGTCTCTTCCATGGCTTTTCCTGGTTGGTAGGCTTTTATTACTGATTCAATTTATGAACTCATTTATCTGTTGAGGGCTACACTTACTGGTTCAATCTTGAGACGTTGTATGTTTCTAGGAATTTATCCATTTCTTCTGGGTTTTCTAGTTTGTGTGCATACAGGTGTCTGTAATAGTCTCTAAGGTTTTTTTTTTTTTTTTTTTTTTTTTTAAATATATATGTAGGGTCGATAGTAATGCCCCCTTTGTCATTTCTGATTGTGTTTACTTGGATCTTCTCCCTTTATTTTATTTTATAATTTTTTTATTGCATTTTAGGTTTGGGGGAACAAGTGAAGAACATGCAATATTGCTACATAGGTACACACATGGCAGTGTGATTTTCTGCCTTCCTCCCCTTCATCTATATCTGGCATTTCTCCCCATGCTCTCTCTCCCCAACTCCCCACCCCCAACTGTCCCTCCCTCATTTCCCCCCAACAGACCCCAGTGTGTAGTGCTCACCTCCTTGTGTCCATGTGTTCTCATTGTTCAACACCTGCTTATGAGTGAGAACATGCGGTGTTTGATTTTCTGCTCTTGTGTCAGTTTGCTGAGAATGATGGTTTCCAGGTTCATCCATGTTCCTACAAAGGATACGAACTCATTGTTTTTGATGGCTGCATAATATTCCATGGTGTATATGTGCCGCATTTTCCCTGTCCAGTCTATCATCGATGGGCATTTACATTGGTTCCAGGTCTTTGCTATTGTAAACAGTGCTGCAATGAACATTTGTGTGCACGTGTCCTTATAGTAGAACGATTTATAATCTTTTGGATATATACCCAGTAATGGGATTGCTGGGTCAAATGGAATTTCTGTCTCTAGGTCCTTAAGGAATCGCCACACTGTCTTCCACAATGGATGAACAAATTTGCACTCCCACCAACAGTGCAAAAGGGTTCCTATTTCTCCACATCCTCTCTAGCATCTGTTGTCTCTAGATTTTTTAATGATCGCCATTTGATCTGGGATGAGATGGTATCTCAATGTAGTTTTGATTTGCATTTCTCTAATGACCAGTGATGATGAGCATCTCAATGTAGTTTTGATTTGCATTTCTCTAATGACCAGTGATGATGAGCATTTTTTCATATGTTTGTTGGCCTCACGTATGTCTTCTTTTGTAAAGTATCTGTTCATATCCTTTGCCCACTTTTGAATGGGCTTGTTTGTTTTTTTCTTGTAAATCTGTTTTAGTTCTTTGTAAATTCTGGATATCAGCCCTTTGTCAGATGGGTAGACGGCAAAAATTTTTTCCCATTCTGTTGGTTGCCGATTCACTCTAATGACTGTTTCTTTTGCTGTGCAAAAGCTGTGGAGTTTGACTGGGACCCATTTGTCTATTTTGGCTTTTGTTGCCAATGCTTTTGGTGTATTGGTCATGAAGTCCTTGCCTACGCCTATGTCCTGAATGGTTTTGCCTAGATTTTCTTCTAGGGTTTTTATGGTGTTAGGTCTTATGTTTAAGTCCTTAATCCATCTGGAGTTAATTTTAGTGTAAGGTATCAGGAAGGGGTCCAGTTTCTGCTTTCTGCACATGGCTAGCCAGTTTTCCCAACACCATTTATTAAACAGGGAATCCTTTCCCCATTGCTTTTTTTGGTCGGGTTTGTCAAAGATCAGATGGTTGTAGATATGTTGTGTTGCCTCTGAGGCTTCTGTTCTGTTCCATTGGTCTATATCTCTGCTTCGGTACCAGTACCATGCTGTTATGATTACTGTAGCCTTGTAGTATAGTTTGAAGTCCGGTAGTGTGATGACTTCCGCTTTGTTCTTTTTGCTTAGAATTGACTTGGCTATGCGGGCTCTCTTTTGGTTCCATAAGAAGTTTTTTTCCAGTTCTGTGAAGAATGTCATTGGTAGCTTGATGGGGATATAGTTGAATCCATAAATTACTTTGGGCAGTGTGGCCATTTTCACAATATCGATTCTTCCTAACCATGAACATGGACTGATTCTCCATCTGTTTGTGTCCTCTCTTATTTCGTTGAGCAGTGGCTTGTAGTTCCTCTTGAAGAGGTCCTTTACGTTCTTTGTTAGTTGTATTACTAGGTATTTTATTCTCTTTGTAGCAATTGTGAATGGGTGTTCACTCTTGATTTCACTCTCTGTTAGTCTGTTATTGGTGTATAGGAATGCTTGTGATTTTTGCACATTGATTTTGTATCCTGAGACTTTGTTGAAGTTGCTTATCAGTTTCAGGAGCTTTTGGGCTGAGACGATGGGGTCTTCTAGATATACAATCATGTTATCTGCAAAGAGACAATTTGACTTCCTCCTTTCCTAGTTGAATACCCTTTATTTCTTTTTCTGGCCTGAGTGCTCTGGCTAGAACTTCCAGTACTGTATTGAATAGGAGTGGTGAGAGAGGGCATCCTTGTCTAGTGCCAGATTTCAAAGGGAATGCTTCAATTTTTTGCCCATTCAGTATGATATTGGCTGTGGGTTTGTCGTAAATAGCTTTTATTATTTTGAGATACGTTCTGTTAATACCTAGTTTATTGAGGGTTTTTAGCATAAAGGGCTGTTGAATTTTGTCAAAGGCCTTCTCTGCATCAATTGAGATAATCATGTGGTTTTTGTCTTTGGTTCTGTTTATGTGGTGAATTGCGTTTATAGACTTGAGTATGTTGAACCAGCCTTGCATCCCTGATATGAAGCCTACTTGATCATGGTGGATAAGCTTTTTGATGTGCTGTTACAATTGGCTTTCCAGTATTTTATTGAAGATTTTTGCATCTATGTTCATCATGGATATTGGCCTGAAGCTTTCTTTTCTTGTTGAGTCTCTGCCAGGTTTTGGTTTCAGGATGATGTTTGTCTCATAAAATGATTTGGGAAGGATTCCCTCTTTTTGGATTGTTTGGAATAGTTTCAGAAGGAATGGAACCAGCTCCTCTTTATATGTCTGGTAGAATTCGGCTGTGAACCCATCTGGACCTTGGCTTTTTTTGGGTGGTAGTCTCTCAATTGCTGCCTCAACTTCAGACCTTCTTATTGGTCTGTTCAGGGTTTCGACTTCTTCCTGGTTTAGGCTTGGGAGGAGGCAAGTGTCCAGAAATTTAGCCATTTCTTCCACATTTACTATTTTATGTGCATCGAATTCTTTATAATAATCTCTGATGATGGTTTGAATTTCTGTGGAATCTGTGGTGATATCCCCTTTATCTTTTTTATTGCATCAATTTGGTTATTCTCTCTTTTCATTTTTATTAATGTGGCTAGTGGTCTGTCTATTTTGTTGATCTTTTCCAAAAATCAGCTCCTGGATTTACTGATTTTTGGAAGTGTATTTTGTGTATCTATCTCCTTCAGTTCTGCTCTGATCTTAGTTATTTCTTGTCTTCTTCTAGGTTTTGAGTGTTTTTGATCTTGCTCCTCTAGCTCTTTAAATTTGATGCTACGGTGTCAATTTTAGATCTCTCCTTGCTTCTCATGTGGGCACTTATTACTGTATATTTTCCTCTAGAGACTGCTTTAAATGTGTCCCTGGGATCCTGGTATGTTGTGTCTTGGTTCTCGTTGGTTTTGAATAACATCTTTATTTCTGACTTCATTTCATTGTTTATCCAGTCAACATTCAAGAGCCAGTTGTTCAGTTTCCATGAAGCTGTGCGGTTTTGAGTAAGTTTCTGCATTCTGAGTTCTAACTCGATTGCACCATGGTCTGAGAGACTGTTTGTTATGATTTCCGTTCTTTTGCATTTGCTGAGGAGTGATTTGCTTCCAATTATGTGGTCAATATTAGAGTAGGTGTGATGTGGTGCTGAGAAGAATGTATATTCTGTGGATTTGGGGTGGAGAGTTCTGTAAATGTCTATTAGGTTTGCTTGTTACAGGTCTCAGTTCAAGTCCTGGATATCCTTGTTAATTTTCTGCCTGATTGATCCGTGTAATAATGACAATGGGGTGTTAAAGTCTTACACTATTATTGTGTGGGAGTCTAAGTCTCTTTGTAAGTCATTAAGAGCTTGCTTTATGTATCTGCGTGCTCCTGTATTGGGAGCATATATATTTAGAATCATTAGCTCTTCTTGTTGCATTGATCCTTTTACCGTTATGTAATGTCCTTCTTTGTCTCTTTTCATCTTTGTTGCTTTAAAGTCTGTTTTATCATAGGTGAGAATTGCAACTCCTACTTTTTTTTTCCTCTCCATTTGCTTGTTAAATCTTCCTTCTTCCCATTATTTTGAACCTTGGTTTATCGTTGCATGTGAGATGGGTTTCCTCGATACAGCACACTGATGGATTTTGGCTTTTTATCCAATTTGCCAGTCTGTGTCTTTTGATTGGGGCATTTAGTCCATTTACATTTATGTGTGAATTTGATACTGCCATTTTGATGCTGGCTGGCTGTTTTGCCCGTTAGTTGATGCAGATTCTTGATTGTGTTGATGCTCTTTAACATTTGGTATGTTTTTGGAGTGGCTTGTTGGTTGTTCCTTTGCATGTGTAGAGCGTCTTTCAGGAGCTCTTGTAAAGCAGGCCTGGTGGTGATGAAATCTCTGAGGACTTGCTTGTTCACAAAGGATTTTATTTTTCCTTCACTTATGAAGCTTGGTTTGGCTGGATATGAGATTGTCGATTTTAAATTCCTTTCTTTAAGGATGGTGAATATTTGTCCCCACTCTCTTCTGCCTTGTAGGGTTTCTGCTTAGAGATCTGTTGTAAGTATGATGGGCTTCCCTTTTGGGTAACCCGACCTTTCTCTCTGGCTGCCCTTAGCATTTTCTCCTTCATTTCAACCCTGGTGAATCTGATGATTATGTGCCGTGGGGCTGCTCTTTTTGAGGAATATCTTTGTGGTGTTTTCTGTATTTCCTGGACTTGAATATTGTCCTGCCTTGCTAGGTTGGGGAAATTTTCCTGGATAATATCCTGAAGAGTATTTTTCACCTTGGATTCATTCTCTTTGTCACATTCAGGTATACCTATCAAACATAGATTAGGTCTTTTCACATAGTCCCACATTTCTTGAAGACTTTGTTCATTCCTTTTTACCCTTTTTTCTCTACTTTTGTGTTCTCATTTTATTTCATTGAGTTGATCTTCGACATCTGATATCCTTCCTTCTCCTTGGTCAATTTGGCTGTTGAAAGTTATGTGTGCTTCGCGAAGTTCT